CCAATCAAGATCTTCTCTAGAGCTTCGGATTTGTTATCGAATCCCTGTCTACAAATTGAGTACTGAAGTGCTAATTGATTATTATGTATCTTACTGCTAAGGCTTGAAAGTCGTAAATGTGTTCATTCCATAGCTAATATACAGATAAACATTTTTTTTTCGTTTTAAAATTCCGGTTTTACCAATGTAATGGGCACAATAATGGCTTTCGTATCATTAAAGATCAGCATTTTTTCATTATTCTCATTAAATTCCCACAAATCTCAGTAAATTGTCCCAATATTTTAAGCGACTTGATTCGCTGTATTTTAATTATTTAATTGATTGATTATCGATTTTATCCTCGGATTTGTTGATTGCTTGATTGATTCTTTAGGTATCAAAAATTAAGTAGCATTATGTTCATTTAAGCACACAGAAATGTTGATGCTGTTCCTGAAAATAACTTATTTACACTTTAACAAGTGCCTAGAAAATAACGTTCTGATTATGCATATAATTTGAGAAATGTTAGGCGCTTTAACGGATTATTCCAATTAGTGGACACATTACCTAGATAATTCTCATTAGATTGTTCTAATATTTTAAACAACTAGATTCGTTGTATTTTAATTATTTAATTGATTGATTATCTATTCCATCTTCTGATTTGTTGATTGTTTGATTAATTCTTTGGGTATCGAAAATTAAAAATAACATTATGTTCATTTGAGCGTACAGAAATGTTGCTGCCGTTCCTAACAATAACTTATTTACACTTTAACAAGTTCCTAGAATGTAATGTTCTGATTATGCATGTAATTTGAGAAATGAAACAATGTTCGGTGCTTTAACGGATCTAGTTAGTGGGCACATAACCTAGTCAATCAGCGAAATAACTGATTTCTGCACTTTAGCGGTATTGATATTTTTAGATTAAATGTATCTAGATTAAATGTATCTAGATTAAATGTATCTAGATTAAATGTATAAGTATTTACATATAATCACTGGTTGATTTAAATTACATGCAAATTTAAAGCGATTCGTGAAATTAAAATAATACAAAAAAAGTTATTTAATTCGTGACAGACGACTATTAGAGAACTTTATATTGCCATTTTCTTATAAATTTTCACAACTTGTAAACTGTTTTTGAAAAATAACCAAGAACAGTCTTCGTATGTCTTTTTCTAGCAAAAAAAAAGTTAAAAAAGTGAGAGAAGGAATTCAAATTTTTTTTTGAGCAAACGATTTTATAAATAAATGGCTTGTTTTCAGAATCGTTTTCTATTTTTCAATTTCGAACTTATGTGTTCCGATAAAATATGATACATCAAAACTCTTTTTTCCAGGGATAAATCATTTTGCAGTAACAATTCCTTTGTTGTTCAAAATTTAAATCTTATTTTTTTCCCTTTTAAGAAAATGTAAATGGAAAGTTTTCCCGTTACATTCGTAGTGAGAGGTTTAAAGGAAGACGAAATAATTTTACCAAACATGAGGTTTGAATTTTTACGCATGACAAGACTAACTTCTTTAACAAATGAATATGCTGTAAATAATTAAGAAAATACTTTAATTTAGTGAATAAAGCCTAATTTAGTGCAAAAAAAGAAAAAAATTTAAATAAGTCAGCGTTTTTAGCGCTGCTGAATCGTGCTTGCTCAGTGCTTTTATCTCAAATATTTGAACAAAGAGTAAAAATCATGTAAAAATCATTTAATCACGTAATTATCATTTCATCCAGTTAAATTTTTATATAGAATTAGTGTTTAAGAATAGGAAATAACATACAAAAAGAAATTTTAAGCTTCTGTATGATTACGGAAGCATTATTTCTTAAAGGAGTACATTTTCAAAAGAACTTTTCTACAAATCTCAGGGCTCTTGCCAAACGGGAAATGACAGTTCATCGTAGAATCATTTTAATTCCAATTTACATTGTATTGCGCCCATAATACAATAATTTATATTCTAATTTCCATGTTTAACAAAACCACCAATTTATATTCTAGCTTCTGCAATATTCTCAATTTATGTAATGTATTATATAGTTTCTAAAACACTACCAGGTTGTACTATACTCTATTACTTCGATGATACCAATTATTATTCCAATTTTCATTATATTCACGAGCTTCCGCTGTGCGATCTATTTTTGTTAATGCTAAATAACGTAACTGAAAATATCATTCAATTATGTTTACATTACTCATAAATTTTTTACTCACTCATAATTAGTTTTGTAAATCTAGATTTCTTTTTGGAATGTAAAAAAAGTGTGTCGTTAAAAGTTTAAAATTTTGGGTCATCTACAGCTTGAAGTAGTTAACGAAAACACAACATATTTCTATGATAAGACTTATTTTCAAATGCTAGGAAACAAAAATTACAATACTAGTAAAAGTCAGACCAAGTAACGTAATTTCTTAGGATTAGTACGCATAGATAATAAGAAAACTGAGATATAGTTAAATATAGGAATAAAAAATTTGCATACTTTTCGAAATTTCTATAAAAATTCCAAAAAAAAAAAATTACACTTAAGAAATATTCTTTCCAGCATCTTTCGACAAATTTAAATTTAAGAAATGTTCTCTCTAACTTTTTTCGGCACATTTAGATTTAAGAAATGCCCTTTCTAACATCTTTCGGCGCATTTAAATGTAAGAAATGTCCTTTCTAGCATCATTCGACACATTTCATTGTAAGAAATGTCCTTTCTAATATCTTTCAGCATATTTAGATTTAAGAGATGTTCTTTCTAACGTCTTTCGGCACATTTAAATGTAAGAAATTTGCTTTCTAACATCTTTCAGCAAATTTAAATTTATGAAATGTTTTGTCTAACATCTTTCGGCAAATTTAAATGTAAGAAATGTCCTTTCTAACATCTTTCAGCACATTTAGATTTAAGAGATGTTCTTTCTAGCGTCTTTCGGCTCATTTAAATTTAAGAAATGTTCGTTCGAACATCTTTCGGCAAATTTAAATGTAAGAAATGTCCTTTCTAACATCTTTCAGCACATTTAGATTTAAAAAATGATCTTTCTAACGTCTTTCGGCACATTTAGATTTAACAAATCTTCTTTCTAACGTCTTTCGGCACATTTAAATGTAAGAAATGTTCTTTCTAACGTCTTTTGGCACATTTAGGTTGAAGAAATTTTTTTTCTAACATCTTTCGGCACAAATACTTACAAAGAGTATTATAATCGAGTCTTATAATCGCATATTTGCGTTTACTGCTTCATATAACACACTATTTCACGGTGGAGATATGATGACTGTTTTTGAATTAGGAACTATTCAAGTCATGGTAGAAACTTTAGATGTCCTTTTTGTAAATTTTCAAGAACTGCCACTGTTTACAAAACAGAAAATTGAATTAAATTTTTTGAAAAATTACTTCACATAAATAAGCCTTTTTTATTATTTGCATACATATTTGAAGATTGGATCATTTTTTTTTTGGTATAATAAAAAGACATGTTTGTCACCCTTTATGATTATTTAATTGTGAATACTATAGTTTCTCTATTCAGAATTATTTTGCCGCATAGATATTATTTTTGCAAAATTATTGCATACTTGACAACGAATTATTTTTCACCAGATGCAGGTTAAATGTTCCTTAAAACTATAAAAATTCATCAGTACAAAAACACTGCTAATTATGTGCTAAAAAATTACTATAACAGAAAAAATTAGTTTCGGTGAAAACATTAATTAAAAAAAAGAAAATTAGTTAGAGCTAACGAAATTAGTAAGAATAAAAAAAATTATGTGAAACCTAAAAAATTAATTAAAACCAGAAAGTTAGTTACAACCAAGACAATTAATTTACCTCTTTTAGGGGCAAATTATAGAAATTTTATAAAATGGGGTATTATCTTCATTGAAATATACTTAAATTACATTCATTCGGATGTAAAAAAGTTTCGTGCATGAAAAATATTTTATTTAAGAAATAAAATGATGCGCATATGCACCATTGGCCCAATCAATGGATAGACCATTTACTTGAAACTAGTTTTTTTTTTATGAAATTTCTTTTATTTTTATTTTATTTACAGAACTTGCAACTTTAATCTATCTTAATAATATATGATTAATCTCAAATTGAATAAATATATGTTTTAAAAAGGTCTAGTTTGCCCATAACCGTTTCAAGTTTAAAATCTAGCGTAATTCAAAAAATTCTCAACAGGAAGTTTTTACTCCAATTGATTTGCTAATATTTTATAGATGTTTTCAAAACAATTGATAATAGCAGAATAATAAAATTAGTGAAAAATATATGTCAAGGTATTAATAAAAAAATATTTATTGAAATGATGCGTTTACGTACCTTTGGCGAAAAAAGGTCGAAAAGGCAAAGAAAATTAATTAGAACCAAAAACATTATTAGAATGAAAAAAAATGCGTTAAAACCAAAATAATTAGTTAGAACTAAGAATTGGTTAGAGTAAAAAAATGGTTAAAACAAAAACAGTTAGTTAAAACCAAAATAATTACTTAAAACAAAAAAATTAGGTAGATCCAAGGCAATTAGTTGGAACCAAGAAAATTAATTAGATCCAAGAAAATGTTTCAGAACCCGGCAATTGATTCGAACAAAAGATGATTAATTGTTTGAACAAGTCGGTGATTAAAGTAATGATTATAAATTTTAGAACCACTTTCTTTTTTTTTAAAAAAAGTTCAGTTTTAGAACATAAAATTTTTAATTTCGAAAGACTATCCTACATGCAATAAAAATGAAATATAATATTACTATCTAAGATTTAAGAAATGTATTAAAAAGAAAGAAATTTATTTCACAGAAAGTTACATGGAATTTGTAAGTAATATAAATGGAAACAAATAATTATTATCCAAGTTAAAAACAACTTTTGTTTCGAAACTAAAGAAACTGCAACTTTCTCCCAAAACTTTCTCTCCGGTTTTCATTTGTGTTTTTATTGCTCGAAACAACAACAGTTTAAAAAGTAATTAAAAGTATTTTGTGCACTTACCTCCCGCTGCCATCGCCAAAAAGAGAAGTAACGAATGTTGTTTCATAATCCTTCTGCAGGTAGCAATCGTTCCGACAACCCCCGAGCTACACAACTCTCTGACGGAGTTTTCTCCCTGTAAGTCCTACTTTCCTGCAAAACTCTGAACAGAGCCTCCTTGCGGACAGCGCTTCAACTACTACTTACTTTGTTTATAAACAATTATTTTGAAACAAGGGAACGCTTTTTTTTATGCAAAAATATTTAAAATTTTGGATTTCCATTACTGTTATTTTTTAAAACTGTCATGTCTGTATTACGGATGATAAATTTCAATTAAAACTTAAGATAAGACTTAGGTTTTTTTTAAAATTTTAACCGCAATAAGTTTAAATTGATGTTTAAACTTAATTTTTTTTCCTTTGTGATAATTTAGGTTTTTTTTTTTTTTTTTTTTTTTTTTTTTTTTGAATAGCTGCCTAAAATTTGGGAATACATGCGTGTTATATATATTCCTTCCATTTTAGATAGTCTAAAAATATATTTGCGATTCTCATTTCGTATTTTGTGGAAACATTTTAAAAAAAGACTCTTTTAAAAAGAATTCTAATATAACTATTTTTTATCTCCAAAATTTTAAAAATAAGTTGAAATTGTGCATATTTAAAAAAAAAATTATATTTGAAAACTTATTAATGATACTGTAACTCTAAATTTTTAAAAGCTTCTTATATTCTATTTTTTATAACGTAAAGTTTTAAAAACACATGAAAGTATTTATATTTATTTCCTTTAAAAAAATTTTAATTTTAAAGCCAAAAATATATTTCAATGTATCGAAAATTAGTAATTTTAAATTTTTTGTTTAAAAGATATTAATAGCTCATCGAAAATTATTTGAAGATTGCTTCTAATAACAACCAAAAAAATCATATGATATATATATTTTTTATCCAATAAGAATGCTTTAACAGCAATTAAAATCGGTCTTTGCGAATTATATATTTTTATTATGTAAAGATGCACATATTTTGTGTAAATATGTATGCTAAAATTACTCTTAAAATATTACAAAACATAAAAATGGATGCCGTACAACAGAATATACTCAAAATACTTTTTTTTTCTAAATATTCAAATATTTTTATTTAATTCAAAAACAATAATAAAGGTTAATGAAAAATAAAATATCATTAAAATATGTGGTTGCCTGTTGGTCTTATTTTTATTTATTTATTTATTTTGCCGAATTTGAATAATCACTAGTTACTCTTTTATTTCCAGTTCTTATTTCCGGCAAAGTTGCTTCCCTGCTCCGCCAGTTATGCTGCACAGAAGAAAAGCTACATTTGAAGAGGAGAAATTTTTTTAAAATACAATTCGAAGAAATTGTGTTAGTAATGTTTTATTTTCGTCGTAAGAAATTGGATTTTTTGCATAATATTTTTGCGATTGTTGTGAGTTTCTTACAAATATTCGTGACCGTTTGATAAGTTCTTTTCATGCCTGTCTACTCTATACGTATATATGCTTATTATGAAGATGCACAAAGTATCAAAATAAAACAAAATTCAGTTTGTTTTTTTTAAAAAATGAAAAATGCTAGAAAATTAATTTTTTAATAGAGTAAATCTAAGTTAGATGGTCATATTGGAGAGATGGCTAATTTAAATATCCCCCATATATTTTTTTATTTTATTTAAAAATTCATTTCATTAAAGTATATTTAAATAAAGTATATTTAAATAAAGTATATTTAAATAAAGTATATTTGAATAAAGTATATTTAAATAAAGTATATTTAAAAGTACATTTAAATAAAAATTTATTTTATTTAGATATATTTTTAATTGCAATTTACTGCAATATATTTTATTTATTGCAGTTTTGCAGAAAGGCAGTTCGAACAAAGCATTACTCATTGTGGCAAAAAAAATGTTAGATTTTAATGTTTATTTTATTTACGGTTCGAGTATTTTTATTAAATTAAGCAGTCTGTTTTTTTTCAATGCGTACTTTGTATTTTTTTCGACTAGCTGGATTAGTAAAGCATATATGTATTCATATCTTAATTTCTGAATAAAAAGTAGAAACATATTTTGAAGTGACGCGAAAAATTCAGTGTCATCAACTTGAGAAAGATGGCCATTTTTCAGTAATACGTATGAACATATCATGTATCGTAGAGTCCTTAAAAAAGTAAAAATATGTAGCGAAAGAATGAAAATAAGATGCATTTTAATACATTAGTCTTTAACCACGCTTAGTATTTCCAATTAAATAAATCTAGTTGCGAAAACTTTGCGTTCATATTGGTTTTCGTTCATTTTCCTTTCGTTTCGTAATTTTAAGATGAAAGACAAATAAACAAAAATCCTAAGATTTTTTTTATTATGATTTTCAAAACACTTTTTAATACTTTTGAGGGCAGCACAAACCATGCATATTACATTCTGATTTTACAGACTTAACATATTATCTGATAGAACTCTAAATATTATATGATTTACGCATTCAGAATTGGATCAATATTAGTTGTAGAATCGAATATAATACCCCCCCCCCAAAAAAAAAATTAAGACGCATGCCTCTTTATGAGTTAAGCAGCGACTTATAATGCTTCAATACAACAATGGCTTGCAAACTTTGAAAACACTGCCAAAAATGTATTACAGTTTTTTCGAAAGTGATCTGTACATTAGATTTTGCAGCTTATTGCAAGTCTTTCATGGTATGAAATGATGCATTTTGCATATTTTAACTTGACATTTCCTTAGATGGCCATGCCACTTTCATGTTAAGGAGATATGGTCACATATTTTTTTCTTATTTTGTTCATAATTTTTGTTTTTCCTTAATTTTTTGCTCCAAGTACGAGGGCTGTTTTTTTAGTAAGGGCCATCACAACGACTGCTTGCGTCGTGTCCTGGCATTCCTTGGAAACAACTGTGCTCAGTTACAGCTCTGTAGGTAACCTGTACGGTCAATTCTGTTTCTTTAAAATGTTCAAATTTAGCAGATCACCCGCCGCGTATGAGGTACGGTCAGTGATGCGTTTTTGGTCGGCAAAAAAACCTGTTTGCTCCATACAATCACCAGCAGATTTGTGAAGTTTGTGAAGCTTCCTACAGGCATGCTGACACGAAATTTCGCTACTCTATGTCAATGACTCTCTCCACAGCTCAGTCCCGAGCTTTACTGGATTCTTTTGGCTGGGAAGTTTTGGACCACCCCTCAATACAGGCCAGACCTTACGCTGAGTGATTTTCATCTTTTCCGATGTTTCAAACATCATCATTTTGGCGGCAACCAGTTCAACGATGACTTGAAAACGGTTGTGACCTCTTGGTTATCGGAGCAGGCGACAAGTTAGTATGAAGAGGGTATTCTAAATCTAGTTGTAAGGCATGATAAGTGTTTAAGCAAACTTGGCAACTATTCTGAAAAGAAGAGAAACGTATGAAGAATTAAAAAATAAATTTGCTTCATAAAAAATTTCTTTCGTTTGGTTTTTATATTCAAGCGGCCGACATTTCAAAAACAGCCCTCAAATTTTGAGTACATGTGCGAGAATTTAAAATGCGCATAAACATATCTTGCATCTCAATTCTTAATACTTTTATTTCGATTTGAAAAAAGGAAAACTATGGTCATCTATCCAAGACTTACCTTATTAGAAAGTCTACTCCAACGTTACAGTGTTAGGGTTCGAAAAATTATGCAAAAAATAAGAATTATTCATTGATTCTAAGGCTGTTTTCGAAGGCTTTGTTGTCACATAGAAAAGAGATTATTTACGAAAAATACTTTATTTTCTTAACTGCTGAGAGATTTTATTTTATATTTTATAACCATTGTTGAACAGCCGACCCAATTTTATAGGTTTACGACCACTAATGTTCAACTCCCCAGCTTTGTAATTTTGAACCCAAATCCAGAAGACAAGGTAACTCCTGGATCGAGTGTTGGGAGAAATTTGCCTTCGTGCAGGTCTTTTTGATGGAGCTAATCCGCATTTGCGTTACATGGAGTGGAAGACCACGAGAACTTTCCAAAGTTAGTCTGACGGCAAGGGGACTCTAACCTATGATCCGTCTACCACTAAGGGTATTTCACGTCAGCACTATGGTCGGTGCAAGCCGGATGCGAAATTCGTATAGACTGGAATTTGAACCCGGAATTGTTAATGACTTTTAAGTCAAGTTTAGGCTATATTTATCCAGAACTATCTAGGCTAATTCTTACAAAGTTGCAAAGCGTCTCTAGGTATAAAAACCACAGTTTTGTGAAAAAGAAAATTGTTTGTGACCTAATTTTTGAATATTTAAAACGTAACTTTAACGCAGTATTATCTGGCTCATAAAAATTAGTAACAATTTAAAACTATTGACTGACTTTTATTGTTTTCTACAGGGGGAAAAATTCTTGTCATATTGCCGATTTTTTAAGAAGTATTTGGCCATTATAAAGTTTAGATAATTCTATATGGTAAGATAATGGCCTCCAGGTGTTGTAATTGTTGCATTTTTATTTTCTTATGCAAAAGAGCTTTGAAAAAAAGCGTTAATAAATTTAATGCTGGTAAGAAATTTTTCCTAATATGGCGATTAAAAAAAAATCATTTAAATGTATTTTTTGAGTCTCTTTCACGAAGAAAAAAAAAGAAAACGCTGCAGTGTGAATATCTCAAACTCGAAACAAAACTATATTTCTGAAACAACTTCTACCTGGCCGTTAAAACTTTACTGGACGATATCAAAAGGCTTAAATATTTTAAAAGTTGTTAAAGTTTTTTTTTTCAATTGAATTAACCTTTTTTTTCTATCGAAGAAAATCATTAAAATCTATAAATAATTTATAGTTTGTCAACAAAAATGTGACAGAGCACATTTTTTTTTTATCCCAGAGTTTCTTGTCGTAGTTCAAAATTTTTTAGAGAAATGGTGCTGCATAGCAAGTGCTCAAATAACGATATATTATTATGCAAATTTATAGCTTTAAATTACATTACAACATGTCACATAACGACATGTGTTTGCTGTTAAAAGTGTATATTTTAAAAATATCGGAAAATAAGTTTCGAATTCACTAACTGATTTAGAAAAAAAATTGTGAT